ATCACTCATCATGATCATAAACATAAAAATGTTACTTGTCATCACAACCTTAAATAGCACAGGCACTATTAATAAACTATAATCAACAATATCGCAATAAACTTTAAACATCGAACACCATAGACTAAGAATAAAACCGGCATTCTCTTTCTATGTCAGACGCCATATTTTCTCATGTTGATTCTAATGTCGATTAAAACCTCTTTTGCATTTATATTATTGGCCTTTAAATTTACTTGTGTGCGTGCGTGAGAGATTATTACGTTAGGAACAAAATGGTCAAATCGTGCGGGAAAACTTATTACATAATTGTAGAGTTGGTATTGGGAAATTATGTTTATTTATTCATGGTGACCTGAGAAATAATGAAAATGCAATAAGGGTTATTGTATTGTTATTAAAAGATATAGTTTACAGTAGTTTATAGTTTACAGTTTTTAAATCACACTTTTTAGTTTTTGCATTTGTACCAAAATATTAAAAATAGAATGACTTAAAAACTGTTATGTTAGTAGTAAGTAGATGCAACGAAACGATAAATAGTTCACGTCATTTAAAATGTATTCAAAATTTATTTTTCGAGAGTGTATTCCACAAAAGAAACTGATTTTAATTGTAGAAAAACCTTTTAAATGCAGAAAGATTTTGTACAAGTCATTTGCTTGGGTACCTCTGTCTCATTCGTGTTTCTGTGGCTGTGTTTCGGTTTGAAGGGTGGGATATGGCAGTGAATTTACAACGTATAGAGGGATAACAGCCGAGTCCTCAGGAATGGCAACGCATAGGGGGTATCATGGGCGAAACAGTATACTCTGTTATGTCTATGGTACTACTCATGTCTATAGACGATGACTACCACTTTCCATCAGGTGGGCCGTCAGCTTGTTGGCCATTCTAAGTTGCATACAAAAAAAAATACTGAAGCGATTTTAATAAAATTTCTATGAAATCCTTTCTTGTAAAAAAGAATTTTTCAAACCGGTTTAAAACTAACGGAATTATAGGGTAACACAACACATGTAAATAAAATACACCCAAACTGATAATATCCTTTTTTTTTTAATCTGTTGAAAATACACTTTCAGTAGATAAACAAGGATATATAAAAAGCAAAGTCTTGTTGTTTACTATAAATATAGTTCGCTGGCTTGACTTGTCTTGATAATCTAGTTTGATCCCAATCTCGCCGGTTTAGTAAGTTTGTGCGAAAACTAAATTAGTTCCGAGATAAAATTATGACCTAATGAATTATTTGTGCAATATTATCGTTAAATACTTAAATTATCTATATTGCGTTATCAAGATGAAACGAAACTACTGTCATAATCTCTCAAATTTATTATGATTGTTAACGAGATTGACTATTACTGGAAAATTGATCGAAGTTTTTAAATATACAATAATATTTTAATTAATTAAATTTGATCTTACGCTTTTTTGAGTCGAACAGTTGCTACAATGTTCTGAGGAATTTTTTTTATACAACTTAGAATGGCAAACAAGCTGACGGCCCACCTGATGGAAAGTGGTAACCATCGCCTATAGGTAATTTATCTATTTACATAATTTAAATATATGACTACTTACATTAAATTACACAAACTTCATAACTAGGTACATATTATACAAACTTATTAGAAAGCGGTATGTAATAAAAAAGAAATACAAAATTAATTAATCCGTGGTTTAATAAACAATATAATATATTTGTGTTCATTAAATTATTTTAAAGAACATTTCAATTTCGGATTTAAGTATATAAGTATTAGATTATATTATCGAATACTCTGGTTTCTCAAAGGTTAGAGAAACGTGGTTTGAATATACTTAGGCATCACATGTCTTTTCTCACGACACCCACATTTTATACAACCTAATTTGTAAAAAAAATATCCATATAGACTAAGATTATTTTTAATTAATTTATAATTAATTATAAGCATTTCTGAATAGTCATTTTTTATAATTCTATCGCCTATTCGAAATTCTATTTCAACTGAGAAGAACGGTCAAGAGACTCGAACGTAAAAAAATAATGACGGTCATAGATTGCAAAAAAAAATTGATTTATAAGGACAACTGGCGAATTCGCAAATTCAAAATTTAAATGAGCTTGAGTAAAAGTTTCACATTATTCAAATAGATATAATTTCAGGCTGTTGCAAGAGTAAAGTCATCGGAATATGTATGTGTCGCAATAACTTGAATGCATAAATTAAAACTGAACCTATCTCGTGCATAGATAATCTTTCGATATGATATTCTTTTATTGTATGTATATTCAAAATTGGAATTCAAAATGGGAAGGTTTATGCTCAGCAGTGGACAGTTAACGGCTGAAATAATAATACTAAAAATATTAAAAATTATCTTATATTTATTATAAACATTTACTAAATAAATTAAGAATGAAAATTAGGTTATGTATATTAAATATAAATAGGTATAAAGTATAGGATGAACCAACTGACCTTGCAGTTGGCCCATTGTGACGAATTTATCATGGATAACGATGGATCATCGATGATTTCCAAAGAGATAGATATTACTAACAATGGGGTCAAATGAATGGGGTCAGCCGATAAGGAGAACAACAAAGCATAACACGTTATAGAGAAGGAAGACTTTAATAAAATTCTAAATCATGTTATCTAGTCAGTGTGGTAATAATAGTGGTGTGTGTACTGTTCTACTGTTAGGAAATCTGGACTCAGCAGTGGAATGTTAATAAAATACCATATTAGATTATCTTCAAAAACGTTTACTAGCTCTCAGCTTCTAAGGTCAGTGGATGAAGTGTTTCACACCCACAATAAACAACATGTGTTATTATTGCATTAAGTGAAGAAATTAGTTGAATATTGTCAATAGACTTCCTTATAACAATATGTTTATTGTTACTCATGGGTCTCATCGCCTGGCGAGTTTCCCTCGCTCGCGGCAGGTTCACGAGAACAATGCCTCGATGAGGACAACAATTTCACCTCTACTTAAATATGCTCAAGCGGAAACCATTTCTAGTGATGTGCCGAGTCAGCCTGACTCAAGTACTAATTCTAATACTCAGGTACTCGATTATCGAATACAAGTTTCGAGTACTTACGGCACTCGAATATTAATTGCCAGTTTACTGTATTTTTAATGTTTGATTCATAATTTTTTTTAATTACTAAGGGAAAAAAAATTAAGTGACTGATAGTTTATTATTTTAATTAGATGAAAGCTTGAGAAATTCATATAAAAACGTTCTCCATTCTGATGATGAACTTGACCATATAAATTATCATCATCATATCTACCGTTAACCGTTCACTGCTGAACATAGCCCTCTCCCATAGAGTGCCATAAAAAACGGTTCTAAGATAAAGTAAGAATATTAAAAATAGTGGTGGTGTAATTGCTATGCCAAAATTTTTAAATTAAATTTATTTTTTATATATAAGAATATTTAAATAGAATAGAATAAAAATTACGTAATTATGAGGATAATTGTTCTATGTTAAGGGCATATCTTCGTTTACGCAGGAAGCATATTTATAATATTACTTTAGAATATTACTAAGATCTAAGACCTCAAACTCCCTTCACACTCATCTTATAGTGGATCTTTTACCGTCCATGCTGCTAGATTGTGGAATTCTCTTCCCATACGTGAGAGTCAATCCCTAAAAAAATGACGCATCTTCTATCTCTATGAACATATAAACTATATGTGTAGGTATATTGTATGTATATTTTTATACATAGATGTAGGTATATATTTATGTGTATGTATATGTGTAGATATATAATTAATCAAATTTAACTATTTAAAAATAAAACATGCTACTTTATTTCAGCTCGCCTTTGTAAGAAAACGAAAACAAAAAAAATGCGATAAACATTTTTATACCACAGATATAAACTTCAAATACTTATAAAACATTATTTCATAAGAAGACGAGATAAAATACAGCCTCTTAATAGATACGAAATGTTAATATAAAAATATAATTAATAAATATACATTCATCATCATCATCATCTTAACCATCTGTTCACTGCTGTCGTAGGCTTCCCCCATAGACTGCCATAAGACTACTCACAACTACTAATGCAATGCATTTGAAGTTGTTACTTCACCCGAGTATCAATTGAGGGTCGTCCTACACTGCATTTGCGTATACGGAGTCGCCACTCAAGAACCTTTCTCTCACATCGGTTATCAGTTCTTCGCGTAGTAAACTGAAGCGACAGGTAAACGCGTAATAATAATAATAGTAGTAATAATAATAATAGAAGTAGCAATGAGTTATAACTAACTCATTGCTACTTCAGTTTACTTGTCCTTCCGTACAAATACTCCAGTAATTTTCCGACTCATAAAACTCGAGTCAGGATTCGACTATATTAGTGAGTACCAAAATAGTCGATTTTGATATTGGAGCTGATATAAAGCAGATTCTGCACATCACTATCCATTTCTAAAGCTCCGGATGGTTTGTCTATACTGCAAATGTCAATTCTAAATACGTACAGAATAATTTGCTGTAAACTGTCAAACAGATTTTCCTTTTATTATCGTATTTTATGTACAATCACTGTATATTTTAATGGAACTATATTTTTATGTAAACTGTATAGAATAATATTTATAACAAGTGGTAATTTATTGGCATATCAAAATATTTACACATTTTATTTGTTAAAAAATTGTTCTATTATATTTAATATATATCCTACAGGTTGTCGTTATTTTAAGATAAATTAATGTGATTAATTTTTTTCGTCGTAATTAAATTACCACTAATTTATTACGACACAAAATTAATTTTTATTCAAGGCATTATTAGTACTATTGCATAGCCCTTTAAGTAATTTATGTCTTTGACCTTTCGTATTGACAGAACATAAGTCGGCGGGAGATTATCTCTAGTACAAGAAATCTGAAGATGTTGGAATGTGCTTTTAATATCTAACAATTTATTTTGTGATTAATTATATATTAATATAATACATACCGAATATAATGATAAGTTTCATTTTCACAGCTAGCAACACTGGCACAAAATTCGAAGTCGATCGATTTTCGATTGTTTCGCGGCGGCGTTCGTCGCGCGTCAACGCCAATCCGCGTATGGTGCTGTGCGTGCGCACCACCACCAGCTGGTCGATGGACGGTAGCAGTCACCACGTTCACTTTCTAAGTGTGGTGGGGCCGCCCTAGGAATACCGGGAAGCAGAGGGTTTGTTGACTCTGATGTGATGCGCGCCTTTATTAATCGTACAATAATGGATCGATCAATGATGAATGACGATATATTCATTTTTATTTGACGGCCAAAGAAAGCGTAATATGTTTTTCAGTTATGAATTTAATTAAGTATTCATCTATGTAGTGATATTGATATGATTTTTAGTTTTTTCAACGATCTTCCAAAAAAGGTTCTTAATTATAATATTAATTTATATATTAATATTGCATATATTTTTTTGTTTGTTACCTCATACTCCGTTATTTATCAATCAATTAGGATTTTTTTTTTATCTTAAAGTATGCACTTCTTGATTGGTACTGTAGAAATTTTAGTAAAATCGTTTAATATTTTAGTTTTTAAATCAAATTAACTGATATCGTTTATCAAGATAAAACATTACATAAACATAGAAATTATAAATAAATAAATAAGTTATCTGCTTAAAATACCTCTGTTTCACTTATGGTTTTGCTGTAAAACAGCTGTGAAGTTTGCATGGCTTTGTAGTATGACCTTACAAACTAAATTAGTCCTTCTTTCTCGCTGCTCTGACTTTAATCCGACTTATCCCTAAACATACATATGATACATACATACATAGATACATAATTTGTCTACGGTCATATTATGAAACGATAGTGCCTCAATTACAGCCATTTATGTGACCAACCACTGAAACATTGCATAAACTTGTCAAACTTCTACCAAATTACACTATTTATGACTATTGTAGACGTATTTCGTTTTCCTAGAGATTAATCTTTATGAACTTATGTTAGTGTACTTAATATATATAACGCACGAGATTCTCCATTCAACTGTATCTTTGTATGTTGTAAGCAATGTCTTTTCTATTTTTTTTATACCACTGAGGTGGCAAACAAGCATACGGCCCACCTGATGGTAATTGGTTATCGTAACCTATGAACACCTGCAATACCAGAGGTATTATGCGTGCGTTGCCGACCCTGAAGAAACCTCTTTACATCCCTTTTGAAGAACCCCATGCTGTAGTCTCTTGGGATTATTCTTGATTTGATTATTTATTTTTTTAATTATTACGTCTTTTTATTCCTTTCTATAACTTTTTTTTTCAAAGGAAAGTCTTTTGTCATAAATAATAAAAGGTTTTAATTTGAAATTGACAATAATGTAGCCTATTCAACATCATCAACATACCAGCCTTTAACTGTTCACCGCTGAACATATGCCTCCCTCTTTGGGAAGTTTGGCAGTACTTGCAATGCTTGGCAGGCGGATTGGTAACCGCAGTCAGACTTTAAAGATAGTTTAAGAGGAACGCTGCTGCCCATCCCTCGCTCTCTCTTAGTCGTTGTTACTCGTCGTAATCATTGTCGTATAGTACTCCCTTAGTCTATTCATCCTTGCTAGATTCGTCTCGCTGCGTCAACTTAATCTTCATTTGTCGTCCTTTACTGGTATCCAGCTTAGACCAATAGCGCAGGTAGGGGAGAAAGGGATTGTTAGTTATGGAAACTGAGAATCTCATTGCTAGCAGTATACCCAACCAGGTTGACCTACTCGCGGTTCTCCCTGGAAACTATCATGGTTAATTCCTGATGAATTCATCATGATGGACTAACTGGCCCGTTTTCATTCTCATCTATCACCCTTCACTGGTGCTCCGCCAGCGTATCCCGTTAGCGCAGGCGGGGTTACCATACCATTTTCACCTATCATTCTATTTTCATCTATTAAAGAAGTATATTCATAAATTGTAATAGATATATCTTGTTCTAACATTATAGCTAGTTAAAGTTATAAATAATATAGTAATAAATAACCATGAAGGTTTAAATAGTAGATATACGATTATTTTTCGTAATAACATATACCTTCCATAGAGTTTACACAGTCTATTTTAATAGAACCGAAAATGTAAACAAATGAATATTGACTCGACCATAAAATAATATGTTGAAATTTAATGACACAAATAAAAAATACATTTATTAATTGAATGATTCGATTGGTTACTAATTTTATTAAGTAACCAATCGAATGTTTGTGTGATAATTTCAACAAAACCTCATTACCTTTTTATTCATAATCATATCAGCCCTTACTGTCCATTGCTGTACATAAGCTTCCTCGTGGGGAGTTTTGCCACGCTTGGCAGAAGTGTTGGCAACCGCAGTTAGGTTTGTAGAGATGTTTTAAGAGGGACAATGCTGCCCATCCGTCGCGCTCCTATAATCGCCTCTTACGACACCCACGGGAAAGGAACGGATGGCCTATGTCTATGTCTATAGGCGACGGTTACCACTTTCCATCAGGTGGGCCTTCAGCTTGTTTGCCATTCTAAGTTGTATAAAAAAAAATAAAAAAAAATATCTCTAATGCAATCTCCTTCAGACAATCTGCGTAGAGAAAGACAGAAAAGAAAAAGGCGGTAGCTATTTGGCGCAATAAGTATATCTAATAAAAAATACTAACATATATAAATAATCATATCAATACCATATATATACGTACTTACTATTTTATTATGTAAACACAGGCACTGTACATTGGAATATTTTAATCCCTACATCAAACCCTTAAAATTATTACCAGATATTATATATATATATATATATATATATATATATATATATATATATATATATATATATATATATATATATATATATATATATATATATATATATTCTTTAAGTGGTGCAATAAAAAGTCAGTAAATAAACGGTAGTTATAAATACCAAGGACAATAGGTGTTCTCTATGATGTCTATGGCAAAAGTCATATACACTGGCGACATTTACCACTTTCCAGGAAGAGTCAGTTTATTTGCCTTTCCGAATCGTATAAAAAACAACAAATAAAATATTAGATCTATGAAAATACGCCCTGAGAAGGACCCTTACTAATATTATAAATATGAAAGTGAGTTTATTTATTTGTTTGTTTGTTATCTCTTGGCGCCTCAACGGCTTAACCAATCGCTATCAAATTTCGTATACATATACTGTATGGGATGGAGAAGGACATAAGCTGTTTTTATCCCGATCAATAAACATATCACGGTTCTTGTCTATTTATCCATCTATATTGTAATATATACAAATCCCGTTTCACGATGTACAGTCACACGAATTTCTGAAACGCCTCAACAGACTTTAATAAAATTTTGTAATTAATGCATAATAAATAAAAAAAATTTTTTTAAACTTCAGAGATAGAACAATAGCGCCAAATAGCTAACGTCTTTTATCTTTTCTCCTCTACTCAAAAGTTGTCTGGAAGAGATTGCATTAGCAATAACCTAAAATGACCGCCTTTTGTACTTCATAAATGTAATATATATTTATTTTTGTATTATTCTTTAAGTGATTCAATAAAAAGTAAATAATTAAATGGATAATATGTATCCCGATAAGAAAAAAATAGATCCGGTAGGAGATAAAGCAATGTTTGTCGAGTCACCTTGTCTATTATAAATCACATATCGCACGTACAAAAAAAAAATAGCATAATAAAAACAAAACCGTCTAAACGCGTTGGAAAGCGAAAGAAAACGTTTCATGTTAATACAGAAACAAGAGAATATAAGTGTAATAAATGCAAAAACTGGAATAGTAGCGTCGTGTCGCGACCTCGGCAATTATGTAACATAAATTTTTACGCTTCTACATAATGATGTACCTGTATTTAGAAACGATAATATGTGGACTGGTTTATATAAAACATTCATTTATAACTGCGCGTCAAAATTATTTGATTGACATTTTTATTAAAAAGAACTAGAAGAAGGTCATCGGCATATCGGATGGACACCTCAATTGAATACCACAGAGTTTTTAAAGTTTTAAATATTTATTTAGCCTACTCAATATTTCGTAGTATAATATATATAAACTATATTTACTCTATTATAATGATGCTTTACAGATTTTACTAGATTATTAATATCTACGGGGTACGTACCATCCTTATTGTTGCTGGTGTCTATAGGCTACAGTGACCGTTTACCATCAGATGGGGAGTAAGCTTATTTGCCAATTTAGTGGTAAAAAAGAAATAAGCTAGCATCTCTATTTGAAGGTCTTTACACAATAGTAGGAGTAAGTCTCTGCTTAAATAAGTTCTGTATTCCATTAACGGTCGAGCCAATTCAATTTGAATATTATTTACTAATATCCTGATATGAACAAAAAAACTAAAACATAACCAAACTACACCTTAAACAATATGATATTTCAAAACTACACACACTTTTCATATGGCCTTTAAAATATCATTTCGTATAGACTATAACTTCGCCGCTATTTTGATTTAAAATAAAAAATAGAAAAAAAAATATATTCCACTCTGATCGTGTGATAAAACCAAGGTAGAAATTATTTGTCAATTAATTATTATGAATGTCAAATATTGACAATGCCATTGCTGAATCATCTAATTAGAATAAAAAAAACTTGCAATATTTATAATAACATACCAACTCATTTTTTTTTTATACCACTGAGGTGGCAAACAAGCATACCTGATGGTGAGTGGTTACTTGTTTACTCTATCTTGTTATCTACTTAATTTTTTTTTTTATTTATATTGGCGGATTGGTTAAGATTTTTTTGTTAGAGAAAGTATCTTACTACAGTTAAGAGATGGTTAAGGACAATTGAAAGTACTGTTTAGAGATTTAACTGAATATATTAAAATACTGTAGTATATATGCACAGAATGGATGTATTATACTTTCCATTAGTTAATTAACTTGAGAAGTAAATTCCAGTATCTTTTTCGTAACCTTCGTTCCAATAATACTCTCCAATTATCTTTCCCCTCTCACCGTACTGGTTACGCTTCAAACTCTTTTCTCCTTCATTCTTCACGACTCTGGAACGCGCTTCCTGATGCCATTAAG